CCCCACCCCATGGGAGTGTCGGCCGGTCTAGCCTCCTTGTTGGATCAATCAGTCTAGCCCTAGTCCTTTGTCATGAAATTTTAGGCGATTGTCGATTTTTGGAGGGGGATAGACGATGTGCGGCGTCTTTCTCAACTGTAAACATTAAGGAAAATCACGACACAGTGTGGCAAAGATGTCAAGGAGGGGCGTTGGCTGAAATTGCAGAGTGGATTACGGCGGGACATCGAACGGTAATTGATAAAAGCAGTTTTCCTGTTGAACGACAGTTAGCTGCGAGTTGGATGGCGAAGGAGGCCTCCAAGCATCCAAGAGAGACCACCACCTCGGCCCTATAAGGTTACAATCACACGTACAGAATGAAATCTAAGGATACAACACTCCAATAGAGATAACCAGAAAAACATCTCCAAAATACATAAACCAAGCCAAAAGTCTTTTTAAACCAGAAAATAGCAACACATAAATAGTTCGTCAAGCAAAGCCCTACTTGAGAATAAGAAAATTAGGAAATAAAGAAAAAAGAAATAAGCGTATAGGAAATAAATCAGAAAGTAAAAAAGTTTTGGTTGAAATAGAAATTTGGACAGGCGGTTGGATTGCGGCAATTCCACGTTCCACTACCACAAAATCCTGCACAATTTGGGATTGCGAGAGACGCTTCCGCATCAGGGATAGAAGCAAGACACATTGAAACACTTTGGCAACTGAGAATGATTCAAATTGGAAGTCGGAATTATAGTCGTGGCACCATCTGAAGCCATAAAAAGTGAATGAGAATGATGTCAAGGTTATAAGAAGAGCAAAAAACCATAGGTGGTTGGAAAACAATGGTAGATGGCCCAATTGTTCTAGGTGTAAGAGGAACCGAGATCAAACGCCATATCTGTGTGCGAGCATGGGAAAGGCTGAACACCAACACAATGAGGCACAATGTTAGAGATTTGACAAGCGAGCACAACACACGGTTCATGCTTTATGCCAAATGAAATCTAAGATGGTATAAGTTCGTGTAAACGAGTGAGCTTGGCCAAGTGTAGAATTGTGAGGATGGAAAACTAACAGGAGTGCAGGATGTGATCTTGGTTGTGGAACAGAGTGATGGCACTTAAAGAGGCTATGAGTTAAATTTGAGTCACGTATTCTTCATCGAAAAAAAAAAAAAGATTAGGGTTTCTATCTCAGAAATTTTTTTTAGAACATAGGAATTTGTAGGACAGCATTTGTGGGCAAAATGGAAACTGAATTGGTTCTCTGATGGACTAAGTTAATTAGCAATGCATATATCATATCTTGAGGTATGATCTGTAGTTTATGCTGTCAGGTAAAAGTTAAAGATATATAAAATGGTCTAATATTCTAACTAGTAATGCAAATAAACTAGCAAAACATAAAGTAATACATAAACTGTTTGTGGTAATTTTAACATGGTACAACTTATGCGCATTCAATATTGTAGCAAAATATTTAGTCTGTACGATTTGCTCACTACAATAAGTATCATAACATGATAGATTCGGAATTGTTAAGAATTGTTCTCTAGCAAGTTGAGGCATTGCCTACTTTACTAGTTGTTGTGAAAGATCAAGTATTGAAACTTCTTTGACGAAACCCTCAAATCTTTGGATGATAAACTATCTTTCCGCTTGACCATATAGTGTTGGTGGCTGCCTTAATATGTTGAAATAGTATTCTTATTCAAAATTTGCTTAGTTTGAGTGCGTTGGAGGCTGCCTTAGTATGTTGAAATAGTATTCTTATCCAAAATTTTCTTAGCTTGAGTGCAGTTCTCATTAGCCAGATAGCCATTGCAATGGGGTCAAAGCAGATGGAATTGTAGCTGGTGGAACAAGAGTGTAAGAGAACATATTTTAAGGATTCAATTATTGGCTCAGGATGGATTAATTTTTTCGCAACTTGAACATAGGGATGTACCTATCTTTTGAAATGTCCAACTCATACATGTTTATATAAATTCTGCATAGTACTTATGGACCTTTTCTTTGTGCCTCAATTAACCAGTTCTTTTTGTGGAAGCCTTTCATGTCGAATGTTAATCATAAATATGTCCCTTTTTGAAGTTTCTTGTTTTGTTTATGCACAGCTACTGTAGAAATATTCTCATGGAAAAATATTCTTTGACTGATGTCTACCTGTAAATCATGCACATGTTAATTAAAAGACTTCATGTATTCAAACTTATATGATAATGATAACACAACCAGCTCTATGTGCTTCTTAGACTATAATTATAATTATTTGAAAATGACTCGAAAACAATTATAAGCATAGTTAACCAAAGGGAGTGCAAGTTCCCATCATAGCACAGCTTCACTAAAAATATTTCCATCAAAATTCTAGGAATATCAACCTCAAATTTGAATGAGGTTGATAATGACTGTAAATCGTGTTTGGTACCCATGGTTTTCTTAGGTGTCTTCAAGAAATTAGTCATTAGATTGTTCAAAAATTGTGAGGCTTTAATGCTGATGTGGCTGAGCTTGACTTTGCCAGTCTATAAAAATAGTCCACTAGAGCAAGCATGTATGCTCCCTCCAGAAACTTTGCCAGTCTATAAAAATAGTCCACTAGAGCAAGTTTAATAGAACGTATAATAACAATGAAAAAGACCACTTTAATCTCCTCAACCTTTTTCTTCTCACAGAGTTTAAGTGGTAGTTTCAATGGCATAGTGAATCATGTGTTGTGCTTTTTTCCATGACTAGTTAAATAGTCGAACATTGAGCTACACTACATGCAGCATCACGTTTGACACTAAGCCAGTTAAACTTATCTCGTACTAGAACAATAAGATTGACTTTTGCAAAATGGCCAAATGCACCACCAACGGGCAACTCAGAAATATTGGTTTTAATTTGGGACACTAAGGATGCAAGTTTGTGTTCCTCTGAATAAGGAAGCTTATCCTTACGTAGGTGTGGTTTGAGTCACTCTGGAGAGAAAATAGGCCTTGCTAAAATCACGAAATATGGGTAATGCTAGTTGATTCTCAGTATTTTCACATGTCCGTCTCTTTTCTGCCACTATTATTTACTCCTGATTTATTTTAATCATAGATATAACATTTCTAACTTCTTCAATCACTTCTCCCTCCACACCTTTTGTATTCCTCCAGCAGCACTACATCTGCCCGTCCTTCTCACGCCACCTTCTCTTCTCCTCGAGAATTACTGTGAACTTATGGGCTACAATTATATGAATAAGAGGAGTCAATATGAAGAACATAAGAAGTGGGACTAGCTGAGTTTTGGTTTGCACTTTAAACCTCTTCGAGCTTGTACCATATAATATTGATGGAACTTCTAACATATCTGTAGGTGACCTATTGCTTCAGAGCTAATTATATAAAACCAATTCCCCAAGAATGAAACAAATAAATACAGCCTGTTGGGCCTAGGACAGTCTGTCTAGTCACAGAATGTACTGCTCTCCAATGTTTATAGTCTTCGATACAATTTTTTAAATTGAGTGTTTGCCTTATTTTTTATATTGAAATGGATAGGGCATTGTTAGTATGTCTATTTCTTGGAATTAAAAATTTGACTATATTTTCTATTTATTGAAATTAAAATTTTGGCCAGCATTAAATTGTTCTTTTTTTTTGTGCTTTCATTTTTTGTATCCTATTATTAATGTCATGCAGGTCCAACCTATATGCACAATTTTAAATAAGGCTTTGAAGAGGTACCAAAAATTACAAAGGGAAGCTGCTGCAGCCGCATTGTCAGAATATATCCGCCACAGGTATGTAGTGATATGTTTTGGGTGCAAATAATGGAAGGTGTTCTTAAATACAAACAGATTATCAAATATGTATAATTGTGTATAAAAAGCATGGACAGAAGATTGAAAACTGTATATTTGATTGGGAGCATAATGATGATGGCAGTGATTGTAAAAGAAAAACCTGGCAAACACAGAGGAATCATATTGATATCGGAACTAGTTCAGAAATCGGCAGAAATGAAAATAAATTTTTATTAAGTAACTAAATTAGAGTTACAACAACAACAAAAATTGAAAAAAAAAAAAATACAACAATATCTAATCGCTTGCTAGGACCAGAAGAGAAGTTCGGAGGGCGGTGGTGACGTCGGCGAGGTGGCAGAGGTGTAGTAGTGGTAGGGGGAATGGGGAGTAGGCGAGGAAGGTCAGGGAAAGGTAAGGGGAAGGTGGGTGGTGGCTAAGTCTAAGGGGAAAGGGGTAGATGGCTGATTATGGGGTTTGAAGAAATGGACAGCGCCTGCATGGGAAGGGCTGTTTGGGCGCTGTGGATGGCTGATTATGGGGTTTGAAGAAATGGACAGCGAGTATGGCCTGCATGGGAAGGGCTGTTTGAGCGCTGTTGGGAGGTCTGGAGGGCTAGACAGCATAGATCCTGCAATGAAAGGGGCGGCTGTGGGGAGGCCTGGAGGAACTGGACAACAAAGTCGCTGCAGTGAAAGGGAAGGCCGAGGTAACTGAAAGAATATGGAGAGGTTGGCAGCTAAGGTAGGTGAAGGAGAAAAGGTAGGGAGGAAAATAGCGGAGGATAAAACACCACCTCGGAGCAGGATATAGCGGAAGACCACCGATCGTCGGATACATCCCTAGCAAAGGAGAAAGAGACTCCAAGGAGAACTTTGAAATCTGCAAGCAACAAAAACTCACTCTAATTCCCAGAAAACAGTAATTAAAGGACTCCAATTGGGGAATACATAAAAAGAAAGGGGGGAAGGACGGGCGGCTTGACCGCACCCTTATAGGTCGCCCTGTGTAGTGGGGTTCTTGACCGGTGCTTTATGCCATCTAGTTCAGCCAGTTGGCTTTTTCCCACACGCACGTCAGTCTTTCGAGATTTGGTAAGCTTCAACCTCATTTGTCAAAGCTTTTGATTTCTCATCTTCAATCCTAGTATCACCCAGATATCATTGTTGGTTGTACTGCCTCCCAAAGCATAGGAAGAGTTTTCTCCACTTGCTAGCACACATCTATATTGATCCGCTCTCCTGGGATTGTGCACTACGCATGTACTGCTCAATCTTCCTAAAGTAACCCCTGGTCGGCTTAATTTAGTATGCAATGAGAGTAACATGAACCTTCTCGCATGGTGGTGGTGCTGGTGGTAAGATGTTGGTCGTGAGACACTGAAATACCCTATGTCTTGTCTATTCCATGTCTGGAGCAGGTGTCTCGTCTTCTCATCCTCTGTCGTCGCTAAGACTGTTCTCATCGACGCTGCTTTGCTGGTAAGGGCTCCTATGATCTTGGGATCCAACCAAGTGGAATAATATGCTTCCCATCCTTGATGAAGGAATATGTGTTTTTTAATTCGTTGTTTCCTTAAGTCAAACTGTCACGATGTTATGGCAGGCATATATAGGGACCACATCGCACCACACCTGGTCCTGCAACTGGCCCCCAATCGAAAACTCTATTAAGCATCTCCAATCGATACTGACCCGATTCTCCTTCAACCATGTCAGTAAATATGACTGAGAATGTCTCTAAGTCATGAAACCTAATTTCTTAACCATCTGTGTAAACATCACATTCTTATTGCTCCCTCCATCGTTGATGAGGTTGCATTCCTTCTCGTTCATGGTGCACCGGGTGTAGAATATATTGTAACAAAGTCACTGCAAATCCCCCGTATCAGTATCTGTATCAGTTTGTAGGACCTGTCGAACTATAAGCGCTTCTACTTCATTTGGTGGAGGATGATTTACTTTACCCTGGTCCTCAGTTCTCCTTGTTGCAAACTTCTTCCATGGCTTCTTGATCTGTAGGGATGACTCATCAGTTTGTGGGACAGCTAGAGACTATATGGCCATAGATGTGGCACCTGAAACATTTACTGGCTAGTACTGTATTGGAGGAGCGACCTTTCTCTTGTTTCTTCTCTCTCTGATCTGACTTGTCACTTTTTTATTCAGGCTTGCTAGTTCCTTCCAGGGTACCCTTGACAGTCGTGGCAGTTGTAGGTGACTGTTTGATTAAAGGATGTTGTCTAAAGGATGACTGTTGTCTGCTCTGTTTATGTTGTCTTTCTATCTTTAAGGCTAAGATTGAAACATCTCCAAGTAACGAATAAGGCTGCAGCTACAACACATTGCTAATAACGGACTACAGGCCCCCCAGATAATAGGCTATGGTATGCTCCTCTGGCTCGACCAATCACACCTCATCTGCAACTGATCAAGCTACTCCGGAGCAATCACACCTCATCTGCAACTGATCAAGCTACTCCTTGAACTCCTCTACTGATCAAGCTACTCAGGATAATAGGCTCTTTTGGATCCATACTTCCATCAAACTCTAGCAGATTCACTTTGATATCGAAGTCTATGTGCCCTCCAAATGATATTTCCTTTCTGAAATTCTCCCAATGGATAGGATTCAGATACCCCTCTCTAAGCCTCCTTTGATATTGGATCCTAAATAGTTGTGGTTTTTTTCTTCATCTTTCAAAATTCTACCTATATAAGGGATTTAGATTTTCCTATCTTTCTCCTCTTCGAATGTTTATATGTAGGTCGAGGGTAACCTCCCCCTTGGGTCATCTCATTAGTCTTCGCAAGCCTCAGTTGAAGCCGACAGAACTCATGTCTTGTCGGGTAGACTCCGGCCTATATCTTTTGGGTAACATTGTTAGGTTTTAGGATTTGTGGAAGTAGAAAGGGTATTTGGTAGTAGGAAAAAAATTTCTAGTTTATAGCGGATGCTAGGAAATCTTATGACAGGATTAAGATTATGTTAACTCTAATATCAAATGATATCGGACAACAACAACAAAGCCTTAATCTCACTACGTGGGGTCGGCTACATCAATTCTTTTTCTCCATTGCGACATATTTAGTGTCATAATTTCATTTAGTTCTAATAAATTAAGGTCATCTTTTATACCATAAGCCCAAGTCTTCCTAGGTCTACCTCTGCCTTTCTTAACACAAGTTGAATCTAAAACATCTACTCTCCTAATCGGATCATCAAATTATCGATGTTTGATGTGACCACACCATCTAAGACGACTTTCTCTAATTTTGTCCGTCACTTGAGCTACACCAACCCTATCACGGATATAATCATTTCACATTTTGTTTTTAAGTGTAAAGCCACTCATCCACCTAATCATTCTCATCTCGGCAACACTTAACTTAGCATTATGCTTCTCTTTTAAATGTCAACATTCAACTCCATAGAGCATTGCAGGTCTCACCACCGTCTTATAAAATTTTCCTTTCAGTCTAAGAGGTACTTTTCTATCACACAGAAGACCCGAAGCATTCCCCCCCTTCAACCAAGCTTTTCTATCACACAAAAGACCCGAAGCATTCCCCCCCTTTCAACCAACCTACACCAACCCTATCAAGGATATATTCATTTCTCATTGTCTCCAAGTGTAAAGCCACTCATCCACCTAATCATTCTCATCTCGCCAACACTTAACTTAATGTTATGCTTCTCTTTTAAAGGCCAACGTTCAGCGCCATAGGGCATTGCAGGTCTCACCATCATCTTATAAAATTTTCCTTTCAGCCTAAGCGGTACTTTTCTATCACACAAAAGGCCCGCAGCATTCCTCCACTTCAAACAACCAACTTGATTTCTACCATTAACATCCCTATCTATATCATCATCGCTTTTAAGAACAGACCCTAGATATATAAATAGTTCACATCTTTTAATAATTTGCTCATCCAAAGTTACACTTCTGTTACTAGAGCTAGTACTACTAAAATTACATTCCATGTATTCAGTTTTAATTCTACTCAAATGAAGGCCTTTAGAACTCAATGTAGACCTCTATAATTTAAGTTTTTCATGGGATTTTTCTCTCGTTTTATCCACGAGAAGGATATCATCTGCAAAAAGCATACACCAAGGTGCTTCCTCCTGTAAATGTCCAATTAGACAATCCATAACTAAAACAAAAAGATATGGGCTTAAAGTCGATCCCTGATGTAGTTCAACAGAAATAGGAAAGCATTTGGTCAATCCTTCTTCACTTCGAACACAAGTAACAGCTCTAGTATATAACAGCTCTAATATATATATCTATAATAACTTGAATATAAGTCATATCAACACATTTCTTCTAAAGAACTCTCCAAAGGATATCTATTGGAACCATGTCGTAAGCTTTTTCTAAATCAACAAAAATCAAACATAGATCCTCCTTATCTCTGAACTTCTCCATCAAATCTCTCAATAAATATATAGCTTCCTTTGTAAACCTACTATCGGCCATTAAAATTTCTTTCCTCTTTAGAAAAATATAAGATGTAGTTTTAATATAATTATAATTTTATATATATATATATATATATATATTGATTTTCTTGAAAATAATATTTTAATTTTTAAAAAATGAGATTGAATGGATCTCATTTATTTAATAGTTCAAGTAATCAAGCACAACACTACAAGTAGCGCACCTATCCCGAGGAATAGACACATTACTTGGTAGTAAAACTCGATCAAATAAATTACATAATTTATGACATTCATTTAGTTTGCGAACCATTTTTTATATAAGCCGAAAAGTTCTCCTACATAATATTAAAAAATAGATAGGGTTTATATTACCTGGGTACTTAAAGCTCCCTATAGAGGTAAGCCTCTATAGTTAATTACCTCTCAAATGACCGAAGTCACTTAAGAGAACTTTCGATGATGATAAAGTCAAGTGGGGAAAAAAACCAAATGGGAACATTTATTTCTTGAATCAAAGGAAAGAAAAGTAGGGGTGCACGGATCCTGAG